TTATATTCTCCACTGCTTACAAAGTTATATATATTCCAGTACTTACAAAGTTACACATTTTCCCATATTCACAATGTTTGTCATTTTCGACTACTTTTAAATTTAACATTTTTTAATACTTAGTTAATATATTCCAGTACTTTTAAAATTAATACGTGATTAGGTACAGATGCTTAGTAAGTAAGGAATGTTATCTTGTGGATCTGTGCAATTAAATCATAATAAAAGTTTAAATTCAAACAAGTATTATAGATATAGAAATATGTGTGTGTATGCGTGCGAGCGGTTATATATATTATTTTTACATCAGTGTGTCGTTTACGTCGGAAACTTCAAGTTCGCACTCATCTGAAATCTCAGCGAATGCGACAATAATGTGGGTACACAGAGAGGGGTCTATATCATCGGCTGTAAATATTCCAGCCCCCGTACGAAGCTCCGCCCAGGTGGTGAAGTAACACACACGCCTGTACTCTGTCAAAGAGAAAGATCAAGTACTTAGTTCACGTTTATACGAAACAGCTAGTAGAAATCATTCCATATTTATTTTAATTAAAAAATCGGCAAACATGAGTCCTTATGACTCAGTCGTATATCAACTCTCATACATATATACTTTCCAATAAAAACTCACCTTTTGGAGCGGTAGCCTCCTCAAATACACCCTTGGCAGTGCTGATGAGTGGAAAGGGTACCTCAGAAGAGGTGCAATCTTGATTAAAATCGTCGTCACCTAATGTATATATCGCCGCGCCACCATAGCCCTCCTCAACTATCCATTTTGCCTAAATAATAGAAAATAATTTGATGACAAAAACAAATTTATAAAATATTAAATAATAAAGAAACATGTTCTTGCGAAAGAAAATATAGAATAAAGAAACAAGTACACAAGACTGACCGCTAGGCCTTTCTGCTTTCTTTGGCTGTTTCACATAAGTCACATTTGCGGGCGCCAAACGGTAAAAATTCAATAAAGAGCTATGGCAAATAACTGCCCTTATTTCTCTTAGTTGGCATTTATGAAAACGGGGAAAAAATATTCATAGAAATAATTACTACACTGTAGTAGCGAAAATGCATAGAATATATATAAAACCAATTGAATATGAGTATTTGAACTGCTGAGATATTAGGTTTTGTTAATATAATACTGCAAATATAGCCATATTTATGAAAGTGATGGTCAAAAGAATGAAAAACAGGGGTGAGCAAGTTTCTCATATTTACGACAGGTGTTTCTGGAGTTAAAACAGTTTGTTTTTCCATATTCGTCTATGTCCGATGTAGCAGAATGCTATTGGATACTTTTGTACTGACTCGATATATTTGCCTTTTCTTTCTAAAATGAATATACAAATAAGATCACGAACTGATTCCTTGATCCCTCTGTAGATGTCGGTTGTGGTTGTGGTTGTGGTTGTGGTTGGGGGGAGGGGAGGGGAGTTGTACCAAAATCCCTGAGGAAATGGAACTATGGAACCAGAAGGGAACGAGTGTCCCCAATACTGTCGAAACTGACAAGTGGTAATATGGGGGGAACACCCTAACCAGGAGGAAATTGTGAACCGCCACTCGCTAGCCTTGTCTTTCCTCCGTCCCCGTTTGTCAGACTTGGAGGAGTCCTTTATCGTTCGTAAAAAACACGATAAACAAACAATTTCGCCTTAATGTTTTGAATAAAATGAACCCTATTCACAAAAAAAACACCGTACACGAAAACGCACACGATAACGAACGGGAACCATAACGCGTGGCAATTGTACGGACGTTTTACGACGAAAAATACCGTGAAAAAGGCAAAACAAGACAAATTAACTATAACAGTGATAACTAGTATAGTAAAAGAAGAATTGATAAACAGATGAAACACGTTACCGCCCTCAGAAGACGTGAATTAACTCCAGAAAAAACCCAACCGCCATGTGCTTCTCCGAGAAGAAAAGAGGAAGTTCGAAGTGCGCACATCCTACTGGTGTCCGGTTTGGACACGGAATACATTTGTAGTTTCGTATTTGCGTGGGGCATTTAAAACTTTCGTTGGGAGTTGTTAAAGAATTAGTAGTTGAAGATCATTTGCATAACAATTGGACTTGGGAAGTACTGTTTTTATATAAAAAGGGTTTTCAGCAGTAATTATTTAGACTTTTATTTCTTATCGTTTTCTTTTGAAATATACTTCATAAATTCGATATATTTTTGCAATCTAACTTTATGTAAATGTCAGTATGTATGGCTTTGATAAAAGTAAAACTTGTGTCAATGCAATAACATGCATAAATATTATGTCTGTTACACCTATAAACACAAAACATAAAACCAACTAAATGTTTAACAGTCGATACAAAAACAGGAACTGAGAAAAACAACGAAAGTCTAACTAACACCTTGGACCGAGAGGGCAACAAGGAAAAGTCTAAACAACAACAGGGCCGAGACACATCAAGGAAAAGTCTAAACAGGACGGGTGACAACAAGGAAAAGTCTAAATAACAAAAGTACTGAGGGGACAACAAAGAAAAGTCTAAAGAACAACATGACCCAGGAGACAACAAGGAAAGATCGAGATAACAACATGACCCAGGAGACATCAAAACAAAAAGCTGGTGACCCCAAAGTCTTATGTTCTTAAAATACTTGTAATGTCTTTACATAGCTTTTCGTTTGGGTCTCAACAGTATGACTAACACATAAAGATGCACATGTAAAGTAGAGATAAAAAATATCGGTATTGTATAATTACTTAGAACCTACTTTTAGTTGGTGGTGTGATGTCAAACGACAATTGCGATCATTTTTATGTGAAATTAAGCCTATCTGACTTCTAAAAGTGTATCGTAGTGAATTTATGTGTCACATGGAAATACGACAGTATATTTATGTAGATATATATATGTGTGTGTATTTTAGTGTTTATTAAATACACGAGAACGTTTATGTAATAACAAGGTTGTTTGAGTCTAGTACACGTGTCCTGTTAGGGATAGTTCATATGTCTATTGTCTGTGTTCTGTCCGATGAGTGTTTAATACTGTCCGTACCTTGACGTGTAAGTCCATATTTGGTGTGGACCTGTCATGTAGTGTCGGTATTTGTCCATATTGGGTGATGTTTTGAGTACGTGTCCAGGTGTGACAGGTGATAATGTCGCCACTTTTTAATAAAACCAAGTGTACAGTCGCGGCATCGCGCAAATAGCCGGAGCAGTAGAACGTATACGTACTGAACATCCTCCGGAGTCCAGAGTTGGACCATATAACTATAGACAATGACAAGACTTAAAGCTGATGAAGTAAGATATCCATTTACATAAATATGTTCAAAGTACCGTAATGTAAAATATATTTCGGTGTAGCTCAAACTTTACTAAGGCATTGATTGTGTACATTTACGCTTTTTTTACAACACTTATATTCGTGTATACGTTTCTTCTCGAGAAATACAAAGCTGTGGTTGGTGATCCTATACCAGAACTGGAAATATTCGCTAATGTAAATCTCCAGAGGTGGCAATGAGGCTTTCTGAAAGGAATGAGAAATATATTCACATTGAATTCAAAATTACGACGGTGCCCGGAATACAGATACAGTGTCATTGACAATTGATTATAACTTGCAAAAGAAATCACTTAGGTGGCAGAGTACAGTAGAAATGGCTTGACCCTAAAAATAAAGGGCATGTCTCGGATAAACATGGATAGCGGATTCATCCTGCACAACACACCTACATATATATATATATTTATAAACTACATTTTGAATAGGTGTTTTTTAGAAGAACATTTTTTTTTTCAAAAAGTGATTTCCCCAGATTTGGGACTTCTGAAAACCATGGTTACCACATCAAAAAACACCAAAATATGCAGAAAAACATGGTTTTTAACCCAGAATTTGACCCGCGCAAGTAGAATTGTTTTTCTTAAAACCTGTCTGAAATTAAATATCGCCTTCTCGGTAGCAGAAATACTCACGTTTTAGCATAGGTCATTCCGGTGGATTTTTCACAATATTTACACATGTGCTGAGTACAAAAATAGACTACATGAAAAGCTAGCTTTTGATGTGTAGACACAGATTTGTAAATGCCCAAAATTGTAGTCTCAAACCAAATTCGTTTTTTTTTTTTGAAAAATTATGAAGCCCACATAGTCCACTTCAACATTTATATGCCAATTTTAGTGCTGATTTTTTTTCCCGGTTTAACCCTGACATGTTAGTACTAATTTATTTTATACCTAGCGTGTAAATACTGATGGTTTATATCCACAGAATAGTATAAGTTGTTTGCGATATCCTGTGCATGCTATAACTGATTTATTAAAATCCCGGAAATGTTGGTTCTAATTGATTGTATTCAATGAATGTTATTACTAATTGGTTATATCCTGATCATGCTAGTTCTAATTGATATTGACCTGGGAATATTATTACTGATTGATTATATCCCTGGAATGTTATAATTGATTATCATACCTCTACCGAGTTTTACCTATAAAGAAACAATACGATAAAATGTCATATTTCCCTAATATCATTTAAATATCTCCATCTGAGGGCTACTCCCTCCCCAAAATAGGACTACTCCCTGCCAGAAAGAGGACTACTCCCTCATGAATATTTGTAGGCAGAGCTTAAAAAATGTTAACCAATGAAAACATTTGGTAGGCGGGACTTTCTTCGTGACGCTTATATACAAATGCTGCTGTTAAGACTGCAGCGAATTTATTTCAAACTTATTTAACTGAACGGAATGCCGGAGGCGTCGACGATTAGGGCATAGCAAGCACAGAGGAGGTGAACGTGCACTTTTTATGCAGAACTTATGCATATTTTAATAAGTTGATTTTACTCTTTTTATTCTGATTCCTGGACATCTATTAAATAATTATGCAACGTGTGAGATATCTTTAAGGCGTATCGTGTGAAGCACTGCACTCTGTATACAAACCTCTTTCGAACGTATCTGCTTTGGCTAAATGAACTATTTTCACTTGGAAATCAAACAAATAACATACTTCAATTACGCGTAAAGGACTTCAAAATTATCAAATTAATTTGCATTGAATGCATTGCAAAAGGTAAAAAAAATATATTGATTACAAGGTTTAGGAAATAGGACGCTCCAGTGGCATCGCTTCTCGCTACTCTGCGACTGTGATGAGGGACAGACGAATAGTCCTCAATCAAACTGTAGGTCTGCAGCGTGATAAAGTCGTAGTTCCTATAAAAATAACAAAATGCATTAATATTCTATTATATATATTATGAGCTAAAGCGGCCATGATGGCTAGCAGACAAACAACAAAGAAGAGTTCGCCAAGGGGGAGATAGCCAAAATACTCCTGCCCATAGCTAAGCCTTGTTCAATACGATAAAATTCAATTTATTCTTAATTATAAAAATATATTATTATATATATTATAAGATATTATATTATATTATATAGAAAACTACACTGACAGGTCCCAAAGGGCCCCGCTATACACCTGACCATGCATATTCCCCATATTCGATAAGCAGAATTCGCAGCGATCAGTTTTGATCTTGAAATACTGGAAATAAATCATTACCCAATGAAATCAGGTACAAAATGTATATCCAAGGACAATATTCACTTTACTTCAAAATCTCATCAATGGAAAACTTCATACATGCAGAAACCACTTAGCAAATACTGATAACAAACTTTCTTTTGTAAAAGTCAAAGATGGCTGATTGGAGACCATTTTGAATGCGATCGTTTCGAAATTTGTTGTTACGTTAGATACCACTGAACCTCCCCGGGCAATGGTTGTGTTATTCATTGAACAAGAATACACTTTACATACATTATTAGAATAAATGTTGAATAATGATAAGTGTAATTGATTTTTTATGAGATTAACAGATTCCAAAAATGGTAAATATAAGTATTGAACGGCTTTCAGTTGGCATTCATAGGCAATATGAATTCCAACTGGACAAAGGCAAATCCAACATGAAGCGCGCTAGAGCTTCATTTAATTAGCATTTGTCCAGTTGGCATTCGTATTGCCTATGAATGCTAACTGAAAGCAGTTCTATGCTTAAGTGTTTACTACATTATTATACAGGGGAAGTGTTTACTATATTATTACACAGGATATATGTGTTTGTGTTGTCATGTATGTATCATATTTGTTTGCTATAACCATTTCTCGTAAAAGTAATAAAAGAAGTTTCAGTACAAATTAAAATATTACATCACGAATTACCGTATTACTCACATCACTGTTTCCTTGACAGTGTTTAGATCATACTTTGTGTTGAAATCGTCAATGGTAGGGCCGAAGAGATTACACACGAGCATCAAGCCAGTACCATCTAGGTCAAACGCTTGGCGAAGTTCCTGTGTTCCAAAAAATACATTGTAAATATTTTGTTAACACGAGCATTTATGTATGATATTGTAGGATCATTGTCAGGTCGCAGTTGTTCATGGTTCCAAGGATTAATGAGCTGTTATAGCTTATTATCGAAAATTATTTATTGAGAAATATCTTAATGTTTTTAGATATTCCTGTTAGTAAGTAAAACGTACAACATGCAGTAGTAGTCTTCATATTTAATAACTTTTTAGAATACAATTGTTGGGTCAGTATCTTTATCTGGCTTTGAACAATCGGGTCCATATTATATATTATCATATACTGATTTTTGTATCAGTTTCATTGGTATTTTGAATTTTTAATGGTTACAAAAGTCGAATGTAAACAAGGAAATCATAATACGTCAGGAATGTTTAAAAAAAATTCACAACAAAAGTAAAAATAAGTGACATATCAGATAAACAAGCATATTCTGGGATATTCCTTTACATGAAGTAGAAAATGGAAACTTTAGCCTAATGAAAGTATTGAAATTATAGACAAATTTATAAGTAAAAATTGCTGTTTCGGAGGAAAACACAGCCTCATATTGCAAATATTATTGAAACTAATATAGACAAGGCAACTAAAGTCAAACAATAATAAGACTGTCAATCTTTAATATTACAAGGAATTTATTTAATGTTGACAGGTATATCTCAAGTATCATGAATATGACAATATTTATATGTTTTTATTTTAATTTCCGGAAAAAATACCGTTTCGTTTCCTTTCTATTCTAATTATAAGAGATGTATGTACTTCCGGTTTTGTGTGTTTACATCCTGTTACATAGTGCGTGTGTTGATGGTGGTTCGCTAAATGTATTGACCTGATTAGGTATGTTTTACTTTTTCTTCCTTTTAATGTCATTTTTCTATTTTCCTCCTACTCTTTATCCTTTTCTCTAGCCTTCTTCGTTGTTGGGTGCGGAGGGCGATTTGTTTCAAGACATTTGTTTATTACTGCTATATGGAAGGAATTAAAATAGTCTCGGCGAATTGTCATAGGAACAAAAGGAAAGATGTATTTAAGTACCTGAGGGAAAAAGATTTTAACATTTACTGTCTACAAGACACACACTTCACTCCAGATATTGAAGATATAGTAAGAACAGAATGGGGATTAGAGTGCTACTTCAACTCACTGCGATCGAATTCAAGGGGTGTTTTAATAGTATTTAACAATAATTTTGAAGTGAAAGTAACCAAGGAAAAGAAAGACTCGACGGGATTTTTTTTTAGCTAAGCAAGTAGAAATAGAAGGTAAGTGTATAACACTGATAACAGTCTATGGACCAAATTCTGACACACCTACTTTCTATGACAATATAATAGAAACTATTAGTGATTTTAATAATGAATATTTTATAATATGTGGAGATTTTAATTTAGTGCTTAATCCTGAAAAAGACTATGATAAAAGTTATAAACATATTAACAACCCAAAAGCTAGAGACAAACTAAATGAAATAGTTGCAGATTTTGGAATGGTAGATATTTATAGAGAACAACATCCTGAGCAAAAAAGATATACTTGGAGAAGATGTAATCCTACCAAACAGGCACGTTTAGACTTTTTTCTCATATCAGAAAATTTATTACCAAGTGTACATAACTCTACTATCGATCCAGGATATAGGTCTGATCATTCAATGCCAATAATCTCTTTAATTTTTAATGAATTCAAAAAAGGTAAAGGGCTATGGAAATTTAATTCTTCTCTTTTACATGAAATAGATTATCTTGAAATTGTCAAGAAAACTATCATAGATGTCAAAATACAATATGCACTTCCAATATACAACCTAAATAATATAAATATAATTCATGACTCAGAAATTATGTTTCAAATAAATGACCAGTTGTTTTTAGAAACTCTCCTAATGGAAATTAGAGGTAAAACCATTTCATACTCTTCTTATAAAAAAAAGCAACAAAATTTAACAGAAAAAAAACTTATAGATACAATTAAAAATTTAGAAGACAGTGAAAATATTGATTTCATTGAATTAAATGAGAAGAAACAAGAATTGGAAAAAATCAGACTAAAAAGATTGAAAGGTAGTATTATCAGGTCCAAAGTAAAATGGGTGGAAGAAGGGGAGAAACCTACTAAGTATTTTTTTAACTTAGAAAATAGAAATTACACCTCAAAAATAATCCCAAAGATAGAAAAAGACAATGGTGATATAATATCGAAACAAGAAGAAATTCTAAGTGAAGTTCAACTATTCTATGAAAAATTATATACTATAGATGATGAAATAGAAGAAGCTAATTTAGAAGAATTTTTAGTAGATTGTGAAATTCCAAGGCTGAATAGGTCAGAAGCATTAAGTTTAGAGGGCAAAATTACTGTACAGGAAGCAGCACTAATTATGAGAAATATGAAAAATAACAAAAGTCCAGGCTCAGACGGTTTTACAGTAGAATTTTTTAAATGCTTTTGGAAACAGTTAAGTAACTTTATAGTACGGTCTATCAATTTTGGTTATATAAAAGGACAATTATCTGTTACCCAAAGACAAGGAATCATAATATGTTTACCTAAAGGAGAAAAACCTAGACAATTTTTAAAGAACTGGAGACCAATATCCCTCTTAAATGTAACTTATAAAATTGCATCAGGCTGTATAGCAAGTAGAATAAAAGCAGTGTTAGATAAATTAATTGATCCAGATCAGACAGGTTTTATTTCTGGGCGATATGTGGGAGAAAACACAAGGTTGATATACGATATTATGGATTACGCAGAGAGAAATGATATACCAGGGATGCTATTGATTATCGATTTTGAGAAAGCTTTCGATTCTGTATCTTGGAAATTCATTGATGAAGTACTAAACTATTTTAAATTCGGGGAAGAGGTTAGAAAATGGATAAAAGTTTTACATAAAAATGCAGTTTCTTCAATAAATCAGGGGGGGAATTTATCAGAATTTTTTGAAATAAGAAAAGGCTGTCGTCAAGGAGACCCTATTGCACCATATATATTTATAATGTGTGCAGAGATTTTAGCGATAAGAATTAGAAACAATAAAAAAGTAAGGGGTATCAATATAAATGACTGTCCTATTTTAGTATCACAGTATGCTGATGATACCTCGTTGATTTTAGATGGTACAAACATTTCCCTAAAAAAAGCAGTTGGTGAATTAAATAATTTTGCAAAAATTTCTTGGTTGAAAATAAATGAATCAAAATCTCAGGTAATATGGATAGGAAGTAAAAAGCATAGTGAGGAAGTTCTTTATCCAGAATGGAAATTACAGTGGGGAAATAAAACTTTTAATCTTTTGGGCATAGAATTTCATGTAGACTTGCATAAAATTACTAGGCTGAATTATGATAAAAAGTTAGTAAAAATAAAGGCACTTATAAATACATGGAATAGGAGAATAATAACACCAATTGGTAGAATATATATCATCAAATCAATACTCATCTCACAACTCAATCACTTATTTATTGCATTACCAAACCAAAATGAATGTTTTATTAAAAAATTAAACACCTAACTATTTAACTTCTTATGGAAAAGCAAAGTTGACAAAACCAAAAGAGACATTGTTATAAGAGACTATATTGATGGTGGATTGAAAATGATGCATGTGATGTCTTTTATAGAATCCTTAAAATTAACATGGATAAGGAGACTATTTACAACATCAAGTAAATGGCAGGAGATTTTAAAAACTTATATTGATTTAAATATTTTAGCAAACTGTGGGACGGAATACATTGTTAAATGTGAAATGACGAGCAAAAATCTTTTTTGGAAAGACGTGTTTAATGCATGGAAAACGTTAGTAATAGTACGAGATAATCAATGCAAGGGAGATAACTTCTTTTCCAAAATGCCTATCTGGTATAATAAATTGTTTAAAATATCTTCGGTATATGTGATCAAACCAGAACTCGATACATGGTAGATAACCAAATTATTCTTATCATAAAATATTATGTTTATAAAGCAAGATGCCTAGAAAAAGCTCTATCAGTAAATGGCCTTATAAACTGTATAAAAGAGACTTATGAGATACAGAAAAATATTGTGAATGGGAAAGATGAAAAACATAGACATACCTTCCAAAAAGACTGGGAAAAGTGGCAAAACCTTCTTGATTTCCCATAAAACCCCTCAATTTCATGATTTATATGTAGAAAACCAATTAAGTGGTAACAGTAATAGATAGGAATACTCTAAGTATATTGAGCTGATATAATACAACTGTTACTTAACGATGGACAGGTTAATGTGATAAATTGTTCTTCTGTTACCAATCTCGATCCTCTCAACCCCCCC